ATATACGTGTATTTTATATTTCCAGGGTGCGGATGAATTCATGGGCCGCTGTGTGTGCCAGCCCGCTCTGACTTCCTCTCCACGTCTCACCTGGTTCCCAATTCGCCTAGGGAACAAGAACGCCGGCGAGCTGCTGGCCGCCTTCGAGCTCTCACGCAGGGAAAAGGTCAGAGGTCAAACGTAGCACCATGTTGATGTCCTCCCTCTCTTCCTCTACACCTGAACACTTACCCTAACCCTGCACTATTGGGTTCTGGGAATTTGAAAACTTTTTTACTTTCATAACGATAATACATGTCTTAACTTTGTGTCTTCAGCCGGCAGTTCATCATATTCCAGGTCAAGAGGTCAGTTTTTTCTTTTCGCTCTTTTCTTAATCTATTTCCTTTTTTTTGTTTTCACATCATTTATTTAAATTCTGTTCTTTCCTCACCCGCAGGGAGACATCATGACCTCCACACATGTTCTCGACGAGGTAAAACCACCATGACCACAGCAGCATTTACACTTTCATACTGTCACCGGCTCAAATCCACTCGAACGCATCGTCACACATTCCTCTGAAGTAAAATACAAGTTTTTATTCTATCGGATTTTGTTAGAATCAGGAAAAGAGGAATCATGACGACTGTAGGTGTCCGAGATAATAATTTATATTGAATCCTGTTTCTAAATGAATCATAAAAAAGTAAAGAGTTTTAGCTTTTTTCCCCCTAAATTTGTGCAGAATCCAAAATCTAAACTAATCCTATGAAATCTTCTGATTATTGTGTTGAAGTTTTGTTCTGGAATTTCACTGAGCCTGATTGTTCTCATCTCTTTTTCTTCATCAGTTGATGTTTTCAGGATTCCTCTCTGAAAACCTGCAGCAATGGGTACGACACAGTTCACACGCATACACACAAAACACATTCCTAACAATTATTTTAGAATTTAATTATTTTTAATTTCCAAAATATTACAGGAACAACAACATGTGGAAACTAATTTTCATTTCATTTCTTCACATATTGTGATGTTTTAATGCTCTAAACTTATGTGACAGTTGAAAACTAAATATTTGCTCATTAACACTTATCCTTGTATTTTATTTTGACATATTAAACAGCGCGTCTTGTTGTTGTATTTCATTTTCTCGATTCTTGACGAGCCTCTCTCTGACTCTCTGCGTTCCTGTTGGCAGCCGGAGGAGTCGGACCTTCCGCACCTGCCTCCACAGAGAGAGCCCAACGTCTTCATGGTTCCTCAGGGGATCAAACCTGTCCTGCAGAGAACCGCCATTGAGGTATCATAGAGATCTTTCACGACTGTTTTTACTGTGCGCTGTGCTTAGCTTACGGTGGCACCAATTCCCAATTTCCCAGAGGCTAAGGTGACATGTTGTTTCATAATATTATGAGATTGTAAAGATTGATAATGAAATACTTCCTGTCAGATCTTAGCGTGGGGCGTTCGTAACCTGAAGAGCTTCCAGTTGGCCACCGTTACCTCCCCGAGCCTGCAGGTGGAGTGCGGAGGCACCATGATCCAGAGCTGCGTCATCCGCAGTGTGAAGAAGAAGCCCAACTTTGACGTCAACACGCTGATCCTTGATGTGGTGAGAACACGGAGCCAAACCGTTCCTACATGTACACACGCACGTTACACACATGTAATCAGTGCAGAGGCTTTAATGGCTAACGAGACGTCTGCTGTGATGTGGTTGACGTCGGTCGTTTTTTCATCATCAGAGGAGCCACAATATAACGGCGGTGGAGGAAAAGTGCAATCGTTAACTGTTCCTTTCCTTCTTCCAAAATCGTAGAAGATGTAGAGGGAGTAGTGCTGAGTGTGGATGTTGGCAGATGCTGCTGTTGTCGAGCGAAAAGGTTCCTGCAGTTGTAAAGATGCAGGGTGGAGGACTGCTCCCATGGCGACCAGTGTATCCATTACTAATGCAGAGGGTGGAGGTCCTCGTCATGGATGTGGCTGATTTACAAATGCTGACTATAGATGCTTTCTATAAACCTGAACCAAACGATGTGCACATATATTCTCTAAACTCAGAGGACGTACCGTTGATCCAGATGTGGCTCTAATGCTGATAGTAACAGCTGGGACTCAACAAAAGTCATTTAGTGGATTAAGAAGCAGTTCTTCTCCTCAGGAGGGGGTGGAGACCAAAAGGGAGCTAAAAGTGAGTTTCCATTAATTGGGTGAATGCAAGTTGAAAGTTGAAAGTTTGTTAGTGTTGTTGTCTCCTCTGTCCCCAAGTGAGGTGATGGGGGGGGCAAACATAGAGGGAGTTTTGGCTAAAGGTCTCTTGTCAATTTCACGTAAAAAAAAACAAACAAAAGCTCCAGAACATCGTCTCACTGTGCGTCAACGCTGGGGACCGGAAAAATAAAACGGCTGTTGTAGGTTTAGTTTAAAAAGCTTTTAAATTCCAACTTCAGGAAGCCGATACGAGCCGCTTCGACCGCAGTAATGATGCCCTCTTGTGTTCTTTCCAGTTCTTAATGTGCCCGTGTGACCCACAACGCTTGGCGTCTTTGCTTCCACTCCAGATTACAGCAAACCACAGGAAGATACAATTAAGTGTGTTGTTTATGTGGCACCCAAAGACCCAAGCTGTGGTAACGCTTTCAACAGGGAATAGGTCAAAGCTTACTCATGCAAACTGAGGAATGTTACCGCAGGAGCAGATGCTTTCCTCTGTTGCCTCGGAGCAGCTGGAGTATGCGATGCAGTAAAAGGCTTTATTTGCTTTATTGTTACAGCAAATAAACAACTGGAAATTTGGTCTTCCTCTTAGCTAGTTACTTATTTTGTGGTTCAGAGACATTGTTGGTCAGAAATCATTAGATTGTTGGAGCCTGGGGGGGGGGGGTCAACCCTCAGCCACAACTCTTTGATCCTCCATGTTTTACTGTCTGAATTATGTCAGGCAGGAATCTGCAGAGGTCATTTAGTGTCAGCAGAACATTTCTGACAATACATTCCCTGGAAAAATGCTACTACTTTTAAATGTTTTATCCGAGTCCTCTGGTTTCATCATTCCTGCCCTCGAAATAACTCTGTGCACAGTAAACATTTATTTTAATGGTTTTATTTTGATCTCGTAGATGTGCCTTTTGGGTTTTGGCGATCAGGCAGCGTCTCAAATAAGAGCCAGATGGGGTTGTCCCCACAACAAAACAGAACAATAAAAATAACCAGGGGTCAAAAAACCCTTTACTTACTTTCTTATAATTGTTGAGCATCCAAGAACTTGAATATCGCTACGACTAAACTCGAGGTTCAGGAAATAAACTCAGAAGAGCAGCATCACGATACGTGTCCTCGAATAGGTTGGACAGATTTCTCGCATTGACACGACACACGACACAATCCTTCTTGCTGCATCTTGAAGAAATATTATTGCATCCAGCCACCAGGGGGCAATCGAGATGTTTTGGCTTTACTTTTGAGGACCTGTCATGTCCTCCATCTCGATGCTAAGCTAAGGAGCTGGTCTCTCTAAACGAAACTTTAAAGCTCGAGTGATGATTCATCGCTATGAGCGCCACCTATCCCACACAAACAGTCATTGCGAATACAAACGTATTGATCACAGCAGCTGTAATACATGACATCTGTGATTCGGTCGTATTTTAATCAAACGAAACCACAATATTAGAGCCATTATTTATTCCTGAGATTTAAACTGTCCCCCTGAGGAAATATTTCCACTGAATTTACATCGGTGCACTTACATTACAGTGTTTTCTAATGAAAGCTGAAACATGGGAATGTCACGCAGGATTTTTCCGTCACAGCAGCTCCACTGAGTTTAATGTTAACGTCATTAAGGTCTGAAGTTGATCACCTCTGTGTTTTATTATGACAGCTTTAAGCAGAGGATGGAAATTTTCTCAAAGTTTTCCCCTTTAAATGCAGATCCTTTCTTTGGGCATTTTAATGTTAACAAGATTAAGGTCGTGTTTTGACCACCGCGAGGCTGCGACTGCCTCAACCGGACTGTGGAAATATGCACATATTTTTCCCTTAAATTCAGCCCCTGAACCGGGTCCAAGCATTCAACGTTAACAATATTAAGTCGTCTGCGTAAGTGCTTTCGTATGCGGCAGGAGCATAAGAAAATGTCATGTGCATAGTTTCCTTACATGGAACTCTTTGAAGGGTCTGACCACAAACCTTTAGCTCTTTCACTTTATTGTGAGTTTAGCATCATCAAGCTCCACTTAAGCTTCTATTAAAGCCACAGAGGTCAAACAGTTTTTTCCCCTGCAGTCGGCGAGGCTATATTAAGAGTGTGGTAGCTGCTGCAAAGACGTGAAAATCTAGTATTGAGCAACATCCGTCACATCAGTAGTTTGGTATTTGTCGAGAGGTTCTTGAAAACTCTGCGGCACGAGAAACCTCTGCCTGCAGGCGGCAAAACCAATTAGCTTTAGCTTTATGAAGATCTACCTCCTTCTTCTTCTTCTTCTTCCTCTTCTGTTTCATTCTTTCCGTCTCTGCACAGAGACTCCCGCGTGAGGAGCTCTACATGCCGCCAATCATCATCAAAGTCATCGACAACCGTCAGTTCGGCAGGAAGCCGGTGGTCGGCCAGTGCACCATCCGGTCGCTGGAGGAGTTCCGGTGCAACCCGGAGGAGGAACGAGCAGCGGTGGAGGAGGATGAGGAGGACGGGTGGAGACGTAAGACAGACAGATACAGATGGATGAGGACATGTCTCCGGGAAAAACCGATGATTAATGTGTTTGCTGTTGTGTGTTCGCAGGTGAGACGCCTCATTTAATCTCTGGGGAGGTTTTTATTGACATCGATGATGAGGAGCCGCTGGTGCCCGACCAGGTAAAACCAACTCATCACTTAGTGGATTTCAACTTTTACGTAATTAATCCAACTCCGCATTATTTCTGAAATCCAATGAAAACTTTAAGGCAACACAAGCGACAGCGCCCTCTGCAGTCTCACGTGGTGATTCATTCTGTTGGGCTCCGTGTCCCAGCGATGAAGCGGTTTTCATGTAGAGAAACATAACTGAACGCTGGATATTACCCATGATCCTCTGCTTCCTGAACCACAGGAGCTGCGGCTGTAACTCTGTTTAGAATTCTTCGTATTTTATTGGAGATAATCGCCGGTTCTTACTGATTCTTGAGTCTTTTTAACTGATCCGCAGTCCAACATCACTGAAACATTGGTTCCTGTGTAAGTGAGTGTAAACGTGTGTTTTTCAGGCGTGTAAATATGAAACACTCATCTTTCCACAGGGAACATTCGCAGTGTGTGTGTGTGTGTGTGTGTGTGTGTCCAGCGGTACAGCACAGCAGCATAAATAAACATGTTCTGACATGATGACATGGCAGCCGTCTCTGTGGTCGGTGGGTGCCGCGGCGACCACGAGACTCTCGCTCGTCACCAATCATGAACATTTTCTCTTTCCCAGTTTAAAACTTTTCTCCCTGGTTTCTT